CAGCAATTTGTGTGCTCCTCTTGCAATCTTCCTTGTGTGCTGAAAACCCAGGAGCGTTTCCATTCTGCCTGCACTGGAGTGTAGTAAATTTGAGCGTCCTGACAACAGGCTGGCCTCTGAGTTATCTTTTGGGTGGCTTGAAAAAACCRTGGCCCAGGACTAATTAGTCCATCAGCCAAAAATGATTCAAGGCTGTCTGTTTGGGCAGGGCCGGAGGGAGATTTATGACGAGGATGAATGTTTCCATGCAGGCAGTGCCTTGTGAGCGCGGTGCTGGATGTGCCGCTTCTGCACCTCCAATTACCTGGGAGCTCTGGGCTCCCAACTAACCACGTCTGTCAGGCCTTGTGTAACCAACTGATGGCTGCACRTAGCAGTGACGTGGGCCCTGGGTCRGAGCTGTAAACACAAAGCCAGGCTGCCCCGAGGTTCAGGGCTGGGAACAAAGCAGAGGCAGCGGCTTGGGAGAGCCATTTTCCACAGAGAGAGTGGGGAGATGCTGATAGACTGCTCCTGCCTCGCTCAGGAGCGGGCAGGGAACACTGAAGGGGAAAGTGCTGGCAGAGGAATTAAAGACTGGTCATGCCTTTGGCAGAATGAGATTSTCCTGAGTGCTGATCCTGTTGGGTGGGAAGGTCATTGGAAATGCAGTCCCATGGTCCTTTAGCAGCAAACCTGGCCCTCTTCATGCTGCCTGCATCACCCTCTCTGTTCAGACACACTTCCACCACACAGGGCAAGGACTGGCTGGTTTGGGGCTCCAGTGCTGCCCTTCAGCTTCTGAAGGCTCAGGATTGGGGAGCAGGGTTTTGCACAGATGGATTCTCATGCCCATGGGTATTTACCATTGCAGGGTAAGGCACAGACCTGTTCTCTATGTAGGTTTAGCAACTGAAGCCTCTAATTTTCTCTGGTTGGCTTTGTTTACTCAGCAGAAGACCTAAAAGCAGCTTTGCTGCTGCTGCAGGGATCTCAGAGACTGGTGATGCCACAGGCAGGGTGCACGCAGGGAGCGCTGAGGCTCATGCACAAAGCTGTCTTGAATAATTTCTCCTCTTGTCCAGAAGAGACAGGGCTGTGCTCCCTCCTCCTGCATGCGTGAGGCACTGGAAGGGCAGGAGCTCAGCTGCCCCTTTGCCATCTCCAACCTCCCACACAGAGGGAGCAGCCCCCAGGATGGGTGCAGTGGCTTTGGAGAGGATTCAGGAGGATTTTGAACAGGGGACGCTGCTTTTTCTTCTGTCTGTACCAGTCTGTGGCATGTCATAGCTTCAGTGGCTGGTTTGTGGATACCAGGCTTTAAAATAGAGATGTAGACAAATTGGCAAGAGGCCAGAGGAGAGCAGCACTAATTGTCAGAGCTTTAGAAAACATGACCTCTGAGGAGAGGTTGAAGAAATCAGGTGCATTTAATCTAGACAAGGCAGTATTGGTGGGGGAGGGAGGGGGATGTCATGGTTTCTCAGAACATAAAAGCTGTTGTTAAGGAAGGATGATTGATTTGTTCTTTCACTATCGTGGAGKGGGGGTGATCAGACTAAACTACATTGAAACTGCAGAGAAGGTTTGGTTTGGGTATCTAGGAAAAGCCTTCAGTGCAGTGAAACGCAGGAAGGAATCGCTCAGGGRAGCTGTGAAATTTCTGACACCCTGTTAATGCCTTTGTTCCTGCAGCTCAGACTAAAGGGTAATTTTGAGGCTGATCCCTGTCCCTCAGCAACTGCAAACCTTGGCACTGCCAGGTCCACGTGGCCAGGAATGCAGGGACCAGGAGCCTTCGAGCCCTGGCTGTAGTTCATAAAAATGATGTGGCTTCAGTGGCTCATAAATCGAGCTCTGTTCAGCTGCCCACTGCTTTGGAGTCTTTTTGGCTGTGTCTGTACTGCATTGGAGATCTGAGGGCAGAGGAACCCAAGCTTGCTCTGGTGTTACCTTTTTGGGTAGGAGTGATTAGAGGGAAGCTTGAGCCTCAGCTCAGAGCTGCTGCCTCAGTAATCACCCCCCTGTCCCACTGAATTTGTGCTTTTGTCTTTGGTGAGCTCTGCAGCTGAGGCACCWGGCTGAGATCTGGGAGAGATGTCCCAATCACCTCTGGCTGCAGTGCAGGCACACACAGGCTTGGAAGCACAACCTTCCCTCCACACTTGTGCCATCTGAGTTATTTCTGTAGCAACATGACTCCAGGTGCTGGGGGGTTGATGCATTATAAAATAAAATGTGAAAGTAGTAGCTGGTTGCTGGGAAAATATTGCAGATTAGCACAATTTGTTCTCTACCTTGACTGTGTTTATATTTGACAAGTATCACTTGCAGAAAAAAGGACAGGTTTTATTATAACTTTTTCTTCATTATAGCTCTTTTTTGTCTGCTTTCCTTCCAACTTCCTGGCAGCGTTATTCACAGGCATCAAACTACTTTCAGGACAAAGTGTTGGTGATCTCTCCAGTGGTGGTGAGAAAAGGGGACGTGTGAGGGTGCCATTCACTGGCAAAGGTGGCAGAATTTCCCACACTCCCTCACTTGTGATATTGCCAACAAATCMTTTCCAGGCAACAAATCCTCTTCTWTAASGGGAGAAAGTCTGTTTCTTTGTACCCATTGGCACAGGTAAAAGGCATTTTGTATCCAAGGCACAGGTTAAAACATGGGCCTTTAATATCAAATTCACTTCTTTTGCCCTGTCTCAGATCCACAAATGTACAGACAAGTCTGTCTTTTCTGAACAAATTTACACATGACGTTATCCCATATTTGAAATACCCTACTTTTGTATCCCTCTTGCCTGAAGCTATTAACATTGGCAGAATTGATGTCCTTTGTTTATTTTTCTGTACTACTYCAAGTGGGAATGTTGGGCACCAGCTGGCCCAGTTTTCCGTGGGGCTGTGCCGAGTGTCAGGACATTTTCCTGTGCTGGTTCTGTACACGTTCCTGGATCCCTGTCCTGAGCAGAGCAGGAGCCAGCCTTCCCAACAGAGCTGGAGAAGGTGAAATGGCTGCCCTGGATCAGGAAAAGGGTCAGTGCAGCAAAAGCAGGATGTGCCTGCCTTTATCTTCTGTGGATTGCAGGACAATCGCACCCAGGAGCCCGGGCGTTGCTGGGCACTGCAGCCTCCCAAATCCTGTGACAGATGGGGTGTGGAGGGTTTGGAGTGCCAAGAACAGCCCTGCTGAGGGGCTGGGGGCAGTGTGGATAATCCCTGCACTCCAGAGCTGCTCCTGGAGCTGGGAGTTGGCGGGTCTGGAGCAGCTCCTTGGCTCTCCCTGGGTGATGAACACAGCACAAACCTCCAGGCTGATGGCGTGGGTTGGGTGGGCTCTTGATTTGATAAATACTTGTGTATCCCTGCTCTMCCCACCCAGCCTGCTGCTTTCAGTGGGAGAAAAGCCCTGTTTTGTGCAGGGGATAGAGGTGAAGCACAGGCATGGTGACCCAGCACCAGTGGGGACAGACTGGAAGCCAAGCAGGCGTTGGGGCACTCTTGGAGGGCACAGCTCAGCATGGCAGAAAGGCTGTGGAGCAGGAATGCAGCTTCTCTGGGCTCTGCTGCAGCCCTGTGCATGGCCCTGACTCTCCTTCTGTTCTTAATTACCCTGCAAGGTCCTCAGGGCAGCACTGCTTCCYCCTCCTGCTATGGCTTCTATCACACGGCCCCGATTCCAGGGGAAAGAAMGACAAACTATCAAAGTGAGACTTCCACCAAAGCTTTGCCATGCCTGTGTCAGCCTCTGGCACTGAGGAGCAGGCAGAAGAGCCGTCTCTCCWGTGTGACTGTTGGGTATTTTCCCACCTGGCTCCCTGGTGAAGGATAAAACAGGCAAAGATGTGTCTGCCAGGGGATCTTCAGAGGTTCCACGAGGTCTCCTGAGCTCCCCTGCCTCGGGCACCCCGTCAGCGAGCCCGGGGGCCTGGAGCTGCGTTTTTCAGGAGATTTGCATAGCAGGGCCTAATTACAGCTGTTGATTGTGATGTTTTCCGTGTTGTTCATATTCCATTAAAGGATAATGCCGCTTAATTTGCAGCCGAGGGTCTCGGTGAACAGCACACCCAATCACCAGGCACCCCTAATGACACTGCTTCCCTGCTTCTGGTAACACATAATTAAAAAATCACTTCGTTTCCAGTTGTGTGGTTCTCCCCTCTCCCCCGATCTCCTAATTACTTTCTGAGCCATTTCATGATTATCTGTAAATATTTCAGCACTTAGATGTACTAATGAGTGCACGGAAGAGTTAATACCTTGAGTGGCACCGCTGCTTGCCTTTCCCTTTCGAGTGATGCATTGCAAAGGATCCTTTTCCACCTTGCCTGTGCGAAAAAAAAGGGGCTTTTTTGGGGGTGGGATTGGGTTTGTGCCCTGCCTTTGAGTCTGTGGGATTGAACAGGATAGGGGTAATGTGCAAAAACCCCATCTCCTGCTACAAAGTGGTTTTTGCTAGGTTTGGTGGTGGCAATATCTTGCTGTAAATCTGAAAAGCCGCTGTTTGTATTCGGCTTTTTCACTTCATAGATGTGTTTCCTGTGCTTATCTGGTGTCTGGGGTGTTAAAACTCACTTGGGATTTTTGGACTGAGTACTCAAAGCTATCAGAGTGATGGAGGAGTGAGCTGGAGCACCTTTCCTGCCCATGGCTTTCATGGGCTTGGGTGCTGTGTTCTTTGTAGGGTCAGTCAGGACCACCTTATGCAAGCCCACCAGGAGCCTACTGCTGGTCTCTGAAGGCATTATTTGGAATAATCAGAGATAATTGTGTTACTAGGGGGTAATTAACTTCCAGGAATTAAAAAAAAAATCAAGCTTAGGCTGCGCTGCTCCTTGGGGTGAGTCTGTAAGTCTGGGAGTCAGAGAAATCTAATCAYTTGAGCACATTCAGCTCCATGATACTCAGGGAATGTGGGGCTGCTTAAAATCAAATCCRTGCATTTCCAGGCGATTCTTACATTGCAGATAAGAGAGGAGGGCTTGAATATGGTCCTAACCCAGCCTATTTGTGTTTCAGGTAACCCTGTCACAGTGGGAATGAGCATCCACATCTCCAGCATTGACCAGATCTCTGAAGTCAACATGGTAAGTTTGGAAAGAAAAAGAAAAATTAGAAAAGAAAGAAAAAGAGAAAAAAAAAGTGTGTCAACCTTTTCTTACATTTTCTGGTAGAGATTACTTCCAAGGCAATGGCTCCTTGGGGCACCTGGGTCTTTGCTGGCACCTCTGGAGCTTGTGGCTTCTCACCCAGAGTAGATTCTTATCCCTTTTAATTCTGTGCCACCTCCCCAAGCCAGTGATATTTATGCCTTGAAAGAGTAGATATGAATTGTATTTTTTGTTTGATACAAAGGTGCCTTTATGGTCAGCCTATCMCTGCCAAGTTGATAAGAGTGGCTTTTTGTGTTTGCTGGTGGCAATTCAACATTTCCTTGGAGGTGTGTGCTGGAAAGAGAGGCACCTAATGGAGATCTGGGTTTGGGTGGCATTGATAGACCAGAGCTTTTCATACCACTGTGAACAAACGAAAAAAAAAACCAAACCCAAACAAACAAAACCAAAATGATCTGCTCAGATAGCACTGGTTTGGGGTGAAACCTGTGAAATCTGTTGATTCCTTTGGCCATGGTTTGGGTTCACATGCAGGACTATGCTGTTTGTCCCTCAGGGGCCCTGAGCACTCAGCAAAGGACATGGACTGTGCTGTCACTGCCTCAATTTGCTTTTCTCCTCCAGTCCAGAGGTTTTTCCTGCAGACTCTTCTCCTTTCCCCAAGGCTGAGTGCAGTGGGAGGCTGGTGGGAAACTCCTGACTGCTCCTGTYCCGTTCCTCCCTYCCTGCCCTGTGCWGGAGAATCCTGGGCCASTTTGCAGCTCCTGCACCTCAATCTATTAAAACCCTGCTCTCCCAGTGCTCCTGTCCTATTTCTCTGCCTCTGGCCTCTCCTGCCCTGCTTCCCTGGCCCACCAGCTCTCCTTCTGCTGTTGTGTGGAGGGAGGAGGGCAGGTGGCACAACCTGACCAGTTGTTTTTGTTTCCAAACTGCCTGAAAAGCCTGAATAAATGTCAGAATGGCTCAGAGTGAAGAGCCAACTACAAAATAGTTTATTTTGCCAAATCTCTATTACCACCCCACCATCAGCCTGAATCTCTGAGTGGCCTGTGACAGCTCAGCCTGGTGACAGTGACACTGGGCAGTGTGTAAGGCCCAGGTTTGGGCACAGAGCTCCACTGCACTGGGTAGCTGTGCTCGAGGTTAGGCTCAGCTTAGAAGGGACAGATGGCTCAAGCTCGTTCCACTGATCTTACCTGTCAGGCCACAACTCAACTTTGAGTCATCTCCTCYCCCGGTCTCACCTTGGACCTGAACATTCTGTGGTGGTGGAGCAGATGTCACCCTCCTTGATAGAGCCAGCATGGACAATTTGGGGTCTGATCTGKGGCTCATGGCCCCAGCTTGCACAAACTCAACAGGGAGGGGGTGAGAGGTTTGGCTCACAGCTCACCTGGGATGGCTGTGCACCTGAGCAGCTCTGTCCCCAGCAAAGGAAGGACCTGGAGCTTCTGGACAGAGTCCAGAGGAGGCACCAGRATGGTCAGAGGGATGRAGCAGCTCGGCTGGGAGRGAAGGCTGGRAGAATTGRGATTGTTCAGCCTGGAAAACAGGTTGGGGACAGCCTTCCAGTACCTCAAGAGAGACCACAAGAAAGGTAGAGAGGGATATTTYACAAGGGCCTTGAGTGACAGGGCAAGGGGGAATGGACTCAGAYTAAGAGAGTAGGTTCAGACTGGATCTTAGGAAAAAAATCCTTCCCTGTGAGGGTGGGCAGGCCCTGGCACAGAGTGCYCAGAGAAGCTGTGGCTGCCCCTGGRTYCMTGGSAGTGTCCAAGGCCAGGCTGGATGGGGCTCTGAGCAACCTGGTCTGCTGGAAGGTGTCCTGCCCAGGGCAGGGGGCTGGAACAAGATGGTCTTTAAGGTCCTTTTCCAATCCAAACCATTSTGTGAAGGCAGCTGAGCCCTGCAGGGGTTGATGCAGGATGCAGCTCCAGCTGGAGATGTGTCCATGGACTCTGGGTGCTGACCGAGTGCTTTGTCCAGCACATGTGAGCAGCTGTGGCCAGACACACTGTGCCCCAGCCCATGGCCGTTCTCCCAGCAGCATTTGCCAACCCTTGCCCTGCAAATGGGGCGCTGTGCCCTGTGCAGTGAGCCCATTTCCCTGTGCCATGGACAGTGGGGCAGCACTGAGTGCTCGGGGCTGGGGGGAAGGACCAACAGCAATCCCTCCATGAGGCACAGAGCTCCTGCCACAGACCTTCACCCCGTGCTGCTCTGGATCTTCAGGGTTTGAGCAGCCAGTGATGTACACTGAGTGCTTTGGTGAGGGCATAGGGCTGTGGTCAGCCTGGGCCCCGCTGTCCACACCACACTCCTGTGGATGCTGTGAATGAATGTCCCCTCTGGGCTGTTGATTATCCCTCCTGGCTCTCTGACTTGACACGAATAATCTCCTGCCCATCTTTGCTACAGATATTGGGTCAGGGGAGAAGGGGTGGAAAGGGCTGGGGATGTGAGATGAGGTGGCTGCRTGTGAGAATTAATTCAGGATCAAGATCTCTGAGCACCATGGTGAGGCAGCTTCAGAAAGGGGTTAAAAATCAGAATCATCTCAGAGAACAAACATTTAGGGAGCAGAAGAGTTCTCATGTGATGCAAGTTTCCAGGCTGAAGGGATTTTATGTGCATCATTCTTCTGYGTGACAGATGCCCCGGGGAAAGGGCTGTGTTTTACCCCTGCTCTGGACATGGATCCTGGCAAGAAAAACAAGGCCTTTTTTTTGGCATCGTGTGTGCTTGGGAAAGGAACTGTGCAATGAATAAATTAAAGGCACACAAGTGAAGCTGGGTTGTCATGGCGACCAAATAGCTTCTATTGTTCCACAAGGAGTGTTATTACTTACTGCCCCTTGTAGGATAATTAATTAATCCTCAGACATCCTTTTGGGAACAATGGCCRTGGAGCTGGGGCTGKGCAGGCTGAGGAGAGCCCCCGGCTGTCCCAGGCTTTCCCTGGGACTCGTGGCGCCTGCTGGCTGCGTGTGCTGGGGAACAAGTGCTGTCAGTGACCAGGCACTGCGTGCTTCCACACGCTGTTTTCCACAGGAGCCCAGCTGGTTGTGGTGCTGTGGAGCCATCCAGCTCCATCCATGAGCACTCCTTGCCCTCACTCCCATGGGACCCGTGTTCCCAAAGTGAGGATGTGCTGACATTCTGGTGCTGGAGGGCGCGGGGCTCTCTGCWAAGGCAGCGCAGCGATGTCTCCGTGCTGGGTGTGCCCAGACACTGACACATGACACTCTGCAGCTCCTGGGGATGCCATGTGTGCTCTGGCACCCAAAACTGATGCACCTCCACCTCTCCAYCTCGCTGAGGGCCGTGCCCAGGTCCTGTGCCATGGCACAGCTCAGAATGGGGGCGTCATGTCACACTGCAGGGTGTTCACAGGGACAGTGCTGGCTTTGGAACCATCTCCCACTGATCAGAGACCAAAACTACAGCCCTTTTAAAAAAAGTGTCACCCCCTGGTTCATGGCAGCTGCTGCCCATGTGTGGACAGCCATATTTTCAAGCTTACTTTGTAGAGTAATGCTTCAYTGCTGTGTGCTCCCCTCTGCACGGCTGAGCTGCAGCCTCTGCTCTTGTCAGTGATTTGAAGGATTATTTGCTGAGCCCAGATCAGTGACATCAATTGAAATGTCTGGGGAGGGATGCCACAGGCCAGGCCAAACAGGTATTGGGGAGGGCACGAGTGAGTGAGGGCAGACCCTCAGGGAGGTGTGATCCATGAGGATGGAAGGACTGGCTGGAGTCTCCTCACATCCTGCACTCATCTGCAGGCTGGGGATTGGAAGGAGCAATGTCCCGCTGTGGAGTGGCTCAGATGGCCCATGAAGGACAGMAGGGTGGTGTCTCTGGGGTAACTGAGCCAGCCCATTCCTCTGAGCGAGCTGGGAAGTGCCTTGGGCTGCAGGCAGTGGAATTGCCTGAGCAGGGAGCAGCCTGCAGGTATTACAGACACTGCTGGAGTGCAGTGCCCTGGGGCAGTGACATGGWCAGGTCTCTGGATGTGGGGCCAGGTGACTGGAGAGCCCAGCAGTGTTCCTGGGCTGGGGAATGAAGAGCTGTGGCACCGTAGGGCCCATGTCACACTCAACTGGGGCAGCCTGTGGGTGTCTTGTCCTTGTGCTGCATGGCCTGAGTGCTGCCCTGAGTCACTCACCTTGAGCCTGGCTCAACCAACTCACCCTGCTGGTGCTGTTCTAGCAGTGTCCAGCACCAGTGGCCTCAGAAAGAGCCACAAGTGTCCCCCACTCCCGARTGTCCCTTTGGCAGACAGCTGAGGGCTGGCCTGCTCAGGGTGTGCTGTACATTCCTGCATGGCAGCACTGGAGCCTAATCCTTCCAACTGCAGCCTTTTCCCTCTCCAGGCAATCTCTGAGGACATATTTTTCTAGCACCAGACAGTTCAGACTCCCTTGAAGCATTAATGAACTATTTCAATAAGGAAAACTACCAGAAGTTTTGTATGCATTTGAAATAAGAGCAGGTTACCCTTCACAGCGCTTCAATTTTTCTGCCCTGTGATCTGTGCAGTCCTAAACCTGCTCCCTCCTGTGTCTGCACACCACAGACAGCTCGGAGCATCCAGCCATTATAGTCGTGATTTCTTTGTGCCTCCTATAATTTATTCATCCCAAGATGCTCTCCTACATCTGCAATAACATCATTTCAGTTTGTTATAGCACCAGCTTTAAAGTTTTATAAACCTGGTGACAAGTTGAAAAGTTACAAGAGGATTGTTGCAGAGGGCTAGTGTTAAGAAGCGAGGCTTCCAGATAGAAATGTTTGCAGGAATGGGGGCGTGAAAGGAAGGATTCCTGGGGGATTGGCACTTCCTTTTGCTGGGGGACAGTCTCCAGTGGGTTAGGGATTGGGGCAGGGTGATTGGCAAAGAAGAATGTTCTGGGTTGGAAGGGATTTAAAGCCCATCTCATTCCAGACCCCGTGCCATGGRCAGGGACACC